AGGGACAGGCACAGGCCCAGAGTTCAAGCCCCATGACCAATAACAACAAAAAATAAACTGGAGGACTAGGGTTTGCAGCTATCCCCAGCAGAAAAGTCGTGCCATCTCCAATTAACCAGCAAAAAAGCCAGATTAGAGGCATGACTCAAGTAGTACGGCACCAATTGTGATCAAGAAAGCTAAGAGCTCACATCCCTGAGTTCAAACCTCAGTAGAGTCAAGAAAATAGAAAAGGGGATATTAAGTACTGAGAATGTAAGTAATAAGGAGGAGACATAGAAACGAAAAATAAAATTAGCTACATGTGGTGATACATACCTGTAATCCCAGCACTTTAGGAGGCTCAAGTAGGAGGATCATAACTTTTTGGCAACCTGGGCTACATGGTGAATTTGAAGTTGGCCTGGGATACATAAAAAGATCCTATTTAAAAAATATATAAAGAAGAAGAAAGGAGAGAGAAAAAGAGAACGGAAACAAAGTTCTCTCTTCTCTCCTTTAAGGGGCACTGGCAGAATCCATTATGCCAGTAGCTTCAGGGTCAAAAGTCCTGTATCATCAACCTCTGAGAATATCCAGGCAGTTATTTGTTTGCTGAGGGCTGTTCAGGAAAGGTTATTTAACTATAGAGAAAAGTTGAGTCAATGTAGAGAGGGCTGGAATGTGGCTTAGGGGTAGAATGCTTGCCTAACATGCATGAAGCCCTGGGTTCGATTCCTCAGTATCACATATACAGAAAAAATCCAAAGTAACATTGTGGCTCAAGTGGTAGAGTGCTAGCCTTGAGCAAAAGAACAGTGCCAGGACCTGAGTTCAAGCCCCAGGACTGGCTAAAACAAAACAAAAGAGATTTAGAGAGCTCCACTTGGTGGGAAACTAAATGGAGTCAAAAAGAAAGTAGGTGTCACTTCCTAGCTGGACGAAACTCTGAGGGTCAAAGAGCTGCAAGATGGTTCTGCTGCCATGGAGTATTCCCATTCCCATTCCCCTGGTTGCTAGATGAACATTGAGGAAAACACAAAAAGCTGAAAAAGCAGATAGACTTGTCTTCATCAGATAAAGAAAACACACTGATACTGATCCAGATCCAGAATATGCACTGCAGGCAAGAGATCTTGCTTACAATACTGCAGTCATCCCTGGAGTACTGTAACCTGTCCAATTTTTTTTTCTTATATTTCATATTTTCCTCTCCTTTTTCTTTGATCATTTTTCTTGAGACTTTTAAAATCAGTGATCAAGTTAAATATTCATATTTAAATGTTATTTTTATTTAAAAATAATTTCATTTTTCTCTTCGTTTTCATACTCGTCTTCTTCATTTACTATGTAGTTTCTCTAACTTACTTTGTGCTGCTTTGTTTTTTGTTTATTCATTGTGTTTTATTCTGTTGTTTTTGTTTTTTTGGGTTTTATTTCCAGTCATGGGGCTTGAACTCTGGGCCTGGGTGCTGTCCTAGAGCTCTTTTGCTCAAGACTAGTGCTCTACCACTTTGAGCTATAGCACCACTTCTGGTTTTCTGGTGGCTAAATGAAGCTAAGAATCTCATGAACGTTTCTGCTTGGGCTGACTTTGAACTGTGGTCCTCACATCCTGAGATGCTAGGATTACAGGGGCAAATCACCTGTATGTGGCTTTTGTTCTTTTTGATGGCCTGTCCCCATAGAGCCCAGGCTGTCCTAGGCCTTCTGCTTTCTCTACCTCACCTTCCTAAATGCTGAGATTACAGACACAAGTTGCTACCACACTCAACTTTCGATGTGTTTTGGTTTTGGTTTTGGGTCCGGTTGAGGGCCTGAACTCTGGGCCTGGACACTGTCCCTCAGCTCTTCAGCTCAAGGCAAACGCTCTACCACTTGAGCCACAGTGCCTCTTCTGGCTTTTTCTGTTTATGTGGTGCTGAGGAATCGAACCCAAGGCCTCATGCATGCAAGGCAAGTGCTCTACCACTGAGCCACCTTCCCAGCCTGCGATGTGTTATGTTTAAATATTTAATTTTTAGTATTCTTTCCTCCTTCCTTCTCTCCTCTCCTTTCTTCCTCCCTCTATTTTCTTTTTCTTTTTTTGTCAGTCATTGGCCTGAACTCTGGGCCTGAGCGCTATCCCTCAGCTCTTCAACTCAAGGCTAGTGCTCTACCACTTGAGCCACAGCGCCACTTCTGGCTTTTTCTGCTTATGTGGTGCTGAGGAATTGAACCCAGGGCCTCATGCATGCAAGGCAAGCGCTCTACCACTGAGCCAACTTCCCAGCCCCTCTATTTTCATTTTCTTTTTGTCTTCAGTTGGATTTTTTTCTCATACTTTTTTCTTTCTCTAGTCTACTTTCTGCTGGTATTTCCTGTAGTACAAATCTGCTGTTAATGATTCTCTCTGGGTTTATCTATATGAAAAATCTTTATTTTTCACAACAATTTGAAGGATATGTTTTGCTGAAGATAGAATTCTAGGCTGGCAAAATCATTATCTTTCTCCCCTGTCCCCTGCCATAATGTCATTCCATTGTTTTTCTTGTAACCATAATCAGCTGTCAGTCTTCTTGTTGCTCCTTTGAGCAGCAGGTAATCTGACTTATTATCTTACTTCTTATTTTCAATTTTGCAGTTTCACTCTGATGTGCCTAGTCTAGTTTTATTTATTCTACCTGGGGTTTATTGAAGGTTTTTGTTGTTTTTGATATAGGCTAGGCTGGCCTGAAACTTGTTATATGCTAGGCTAGTGCCAAACTCATGTTTCTATCTTGGCCTTCTGAGAGTTGTGATTAAAAGCATAAGCCAGAAGCCAGATACTGATGACTCATATCTGTAATCCTAGCAACTTATGAGGCTGAAATCTAAGGATCATGTTTTGAAACCAATTAATCACCAAAAAGCCAGAAGTAGAGCTATGGCTCAAAGTGGTAGAGTATTATCCTTGAGCAAAAAATTTCAGGGATAGTGAGCTGGGAAGGTGGCTCAGTGGTGACAGACTGTTTGCCTTGCATGCATGAGGCCCTGGGTTTGATTGTTCAGCACCACATAAACAGAAAAAGCCAGAAGAGGCACTGTGGTGCATACACACACACACACACACACACACACACACACACACACACACACACACACACACACACACACACACACACACACACACACACACACACACACACACACACACACACACACACACCATAAGAACCACACACAAACACATTCACAGAATATAAGCCAGGCAAGCCAGAAGAGGCACTGTGGTGCATATACACACACACACACACACACACACACACACACACACCATAAGAACCACACACAAACACATTCACAGAATATAAGCCAGGCATGGTGGCATGTGCCTATAATCCCACCACTGAGAAGGTTGAGACAGGAGGATCATGAATTTGAGGCCAGCCTCGGCTACATAGCAAGACATTGTCTTAAAAAAACAAGCTAGAGCCAGGTGTCAGAGGCTTATGCCTGTAATCCTAGCTGCTCAGAAGGCTGAGATCTGAGGATTGTCCTCAGAGCCAGCCTAAGCAGGAAAATCCATGGTATTCTTATCTCCAGTTAACTACCAAAAAAGCAAAAGTGGAGCTCTGGCTCAAGTGGCAGAGTACTAGCCTTAAGCATAACTGCCCAGGGACAACATGTAGGCCCTTAGTTCTAGCCCCACGACTGGCACAAAATAAAAATAAAGGGGAAAAAAATGGGAGAGTGCAAGGGAAGGGGTGACACTGTCCAAAAAGAATTGTACTCCTGGAGCCGGGCACCAGTGGCTCACACCTGTAATCCTAGCTACTTGGGAGGCTGAGATCTGAGGATAACAGTTCAAAGCCAGCCCAGGCAGGAAAGTCCATGAGCCTCTTACCTCCAATTAATCACCAGAAAACTGGAAGTGGCACTGTGGCTCAAGTGGTAGATCACTTGCCTTGAGCTGAAGAGTTCAGGGACAGCGCTCAAGCCCAGAGTTCAAGTCCCATGACCAAAAAAAAAAAAAAGAATTTACTCTTTACCTGATTTATATAACTGTAACCCCTCTGTATACCACCTTTATAATAACAACAAAACCAAAATAAAATAAAGAACAAATTGCGTGTGGTGGCACATGCCTGTAATCCAAGCACTTGGAAGGCTGAGGCAGAAGGAGCTCAAGCTCAATATTAGTCTGAACTACACAGTGAGACCTTTCTCACAAGAAAGAAGGCAGGCAGGGTGGATAAGAAAGAGTAACAAGGTGACTTTGATCAAAGTATATCATATGAATGCATGGAAATACCAGAAGGAAACCTCTTTGCACAATTAATATACACTAACAAAGAGAAAAAGGGAAGGAGTAACAACAACACAAAATGTTATAAATTTTACTTAGGTTGGAACCATGCATAATACCATTGTTTCTTTTAGAACTGGGATGTAACTTAGTGGTAGAGCACTTGTGTAGTAGTAAGCTATTAGTTTCATTCCATGTGCTGGAAATTAAACCAACAACTAAATACAATTGTTTCTTGTGGTTTAGTTGGTCAGATATTTCATTGCTGTGGCAAATAGGTGAAATAAACAGATTAGGGGAGGAAGGATTTATTTTGACACACAGTTTCAGAGGTCTTCATGTATGCCTGGCTGGGTGCATTGTTTTAGGTCTGAAGTAGGGCATGGGGGAGTGCAGTATGGGAAGCATGTGGCAGAGGCTGCTCACTTCATAGTAGACAGAAAGCAGAGAAGAGAAAGAATAGGGAAAAATGTATCTTTCCAGTACACACTCCTCTAAATCTCCACCTCCATTATGACTCCATCAAGGGATTCATCCATTGATTAGGTTAGAACACTCAGGATCCAGCAGGCAACCAGGTCCCTAATATCATGAGTCTATGAGAACAGTTCATATTTAGCATAAAATTTTATTGAGAGAATTTTGCCTGAAAGTCATTTCTTTTTTTTTTCCTGAAGTTTACATATTGAAAGTGCTGTTTCTTAACTTGCTGTTTCATATGAAATATGTGCTCTAACTTTGTCGGTATTTGCAGGTCTCGACACAGGAGATTTTCTTACAGCCATTCTAAATCTCGTTCCAAATCTCTACCAAGGCGGTCTACCTCAGCAAGGCAGTCAAGAACTCCAAGAAGGAATTCTGGTTTTAGAGGACGGTCAAGGTCCAAGTCCTTACTAAAAAGGTCCAAGTCAATAGGAAAATCACAATCAAGTTCACCTCAAAAGCAGACTAGCTCAGGAACAAAATCAAGATCGCATGGAAGACATTCTGACTCCATAGCAAGATCCCCATGTAAATCTCCCAAAGGGTATACCAATTCTGAAACTAAAGCACAAACAGCAAAACATTCACATTTTCGGTCACATTCCAGATCTCAGAGTTATCGTCATAAAAACAGTTGGTGAACAGCAACTGGAGTCTTTAAGTTATGAAACTTCTCATTATGTTAAATAAAAATTCTTCAAGGCTTATAAAAAAATGTGAGTTGATACTACTTGGGCATGTGAAAAAATATCTGTAGTTTTGGATTAATAAATATTTCGTATCAATTTAAGGGCTCACACCACAAATTATGATGTCTAATGTCACCATTCTATGGACTTCTTCAAGTTAGAGCAGGAGGGTATTTTCAAAATAAATGGGTAAAATGGAGTCAATTTAGAAAATTTCACTAAGACAGTAAATATTGATAATACCTTTTAACCAAAAATATTTTTGACTACAGCACTTTTCATTTAAAAAGTAATATGCATATATAGCAGACTTAAACTGTTTGACACATTGCTAGCTGTGTTGTTTAAGCTTAGGCCAATTCCTAGTTGGTAGTTGAAATTTATAACACTCCAAAATTCCAAAAAATAGAATTTATGTAAGGAATAAGTATTCAAAAGAAATTATCTTTGAGCTCAAAGATGATTTCATTTTTATTGGATAGAACAGTATAGATCAGTTGACATGAAGTGATATATCATGTTCACTTAAAAGATGAAAACACTTTAGAGATGCTGGATTTTGCATGGTTTGGGACTGCTTCTCTAAAAATTATGGTATTCAAAACTCACAAATCCAAAAATGTTCATATTAAGCCTTCTACATTCAAAGATTACATTTTATATAAAATAGTATTTTATACTATTATTTCTACATACCTGTTTTCATTTGCTTAATTTTTCTTTTTAGAGCTCTAGCTCAGTACTCTAAATTATATAGAATGTCTTTTTTTAGACTAGTACCTTGTATTAATAAACTCAAAACTGCATCTTCAAAAGACAGCTTTTCAGTATTTGAACTTTTTTGCAGTCTTTTAGTTTTTACACTGCTCATTTTTTAAACCAAACAACTTTGTTGGCATTCATTGCTTTTGTAGTGGTAACTGTGAATTTCTTTTAAAATGTGTTTGTAGTTTACATTTTTCAGAGTTTTGTTAGATTTGTGGTAAAATGGTTTTGCATATTATTAAAGGAGATATATTTATAGAGCTCTACTTGTATACTTGTTGAATTATATTATTGAAACTTAAAAGTTAGTCCATACAGTCAATATTTATAGCTAAAATGCTTAAAGAAAAAAACCTGTCTTATATTTTTAGTATATGGAGTCAATGTTGCTTCTATTTGTTTTGAATATGCATTTCCATTGTTCTTTGCATTTTAGATCTTTATATGTAAGAAATGTTACAAAATTTGTATGCTGGCAATATCTGGACAAATAACAAATTCATGTATATTGTGTTTTCTGAATACATTTTCTGTAGTCATAATGATTTTATTTCAAAACTACAGCTCTGAAGTGTTTAGCTGTAATGAAAGTTATAAAATTATGTGATACTTGAAAATTTGGAGGAGACCCTGAAGTATATATATTAATATATTAACATATCATAATTTTATTTCCTAAATAATGGGTGTACACATCTAGTCATTTAAAATAGTAATTAATGGAAATGTAGCTCAGTGATAGAGCACTTGACGAAATGACTGAGGCTTTGGGTTTGATTCCCAGCACCATAAAAATTTAAATAATTGTGTTTTTACTGTACATTTACAAATTAATGAACTCTTATTAAAAAGTCAGTAAGGTCATGTTCCAGCACATCATTTTTTCATTTGCCTTAGACTTCATTTTACATTATAATTGCTAGGTTGTTAAGCAAGATATAGTTTGGTTTGATTGGAAAAGGTGGAATAATAATGGCCCAGAGTGTTTTGAGCATTTACTGTGTGCTTGACACTGTCCCATAAGTTTTAATCATCATGACTATTATAAGGCAAGGTAAATACCATTCCAGATAGAGAACCTGGCATACAGAATCATTGAGTTGCAGAGCACGCATTGTAACTGAGGAGCTGGGGAATGGCTGGGGCTCAGTCTTCTCCCTGACAGCTATATCATGTCTTTTAGGAAGAGCGAGTCTCTTTGACAGACATTTTGCTATAACAATGTTTAGAGTGAAAAGAGAGAATGGAATTTAGAATTGTCTGTAGGCTTTAATGAAAATGGCCCTTGATACTGGGTGGAAACAGATTAGCTGAATATCTTGGAAAATTGTCTTCTAGAAGTATCTTTATTGTAAGGTTCACTTTGCCAGATATGTTGGTGTACTCTTGTAATCTTAACACTTGGAAGCCAAGGCAAGAAGATCTTGAGTTTGAAGCCAGCCTGGGCTATATAATGAGAGAACCTGTTTCAAAAGAAAAGGAGCCAGGCACTGGTAATTCTTTTCTGTAAATCCTAGCTACTTAGGAGGCTAAGATCTAAGGACCAAGGCTCAAAGACAGCCCAGGCAGCAAACTCTGTGAGTCTCTTATCTCCAATTAACCATTAAAAAGCCAGAAGTGCAGCTGTGGCTTAAGTGATAGAGTACCAGCTTTGAGCAAAAAAACCCAAAACAAACAAACAAAAAACCCTCAAGAACAATGTCCTAAGCACATTTCGTGCTTAGGAACACAAAAACTTAAATTTTTTTAAGGGAAAAGTTTCTTAGGCCATTGTATATAGCATAAGACCATCTATGAATAAGGCAGATATTTTTATCTTAGACATTGGTGATGGATTCCTTTTAACTAAATATAAGTAGTTCCCTCCTTCTTTAGAGATATTACCTACCAACATTTGTACTGGAAAACAAATTCAACTCAAGAATGTCCTGCTGGGTGCCAATGGCTCACCCCTATAATCCTAGCTACTCAGAAGGCTAGGATCTGAAGACTGTAGTTTGAAGCCAACCTGGACAGAAAAGTCTTTGAGACTCATCTCCAATGAAACTACTCAGAAAAAGCTGGAAGTAATGCTGTGGCTCAAATGGTAGAGCGCTAGCCTTGAACACAAAGAAGCTCAGAGAGGTGCCCAGGCCCTGAGTTCAAGCCCCAGGACTGGAAAAAAAGGATGGCCAGAGGAGCTTGTTTTTTGTTTTCCTGTGAACATGCCCAAATCTTATACAGCTGTTATCTTGTAGCTGCTAACAGATAATGGGTCAAATTGTTGAAATTTGTACCCAGGTTTTAGTTTTATACTATTGGTCTAATTTATATTTCATTGCAAAGTAGTTTTGGGACTTTGTTTATATGTAATGTTTACTTGAAGTGTAACTGTCCTAAGATAAACAAACGTTACGAGTAAAAATTTCTGGACATGGTATGCAGCTCAGTGGTAGAGCATTTGCTTAGCATGTGCAAGGCCCTGATGCTGAAGATTGAATTTGGAGACTATTGCTGAGTAAGTAGTCTACTGCTAAGCTACACCTCCAGCCTTTAATTTTTTTTTTTTATTCTGGTCATGGAGTTTGTACTCCTGGCCTGGACTCTGTCCCTGAGCTCTTTCGCTCAAGGCTAGTGCTCTACCACTTTGAGCCATAGAGCCACTTCCGGTTTTCTGGTGGTTAATTGGAGAAAAGAGGACTTTACTTCCTGGGCTGGCTTTGAACCTCGATCTGCAGATCTTAGCCTCCTGAGTAGCTAGGATTACAGGCATAAGCCACCAGTGCTGGCAAAGCCCTAAAATTTTTTTGGATCCCGTCGTGGGCATGAACTCTGGGCCTGGGCGCTGTCCCTCAGCTCTTTACCTCAAGGCTAGCGCTCTACCACTTGAGCCACAGAGCCACTTCGGCTTTTTTTTTTTCTGATTATGTGGTGCTGAGGAATCGAACCCAGGGCCTCATGCATGCAAGGCAAGCGCTCTACCACTGAGCTACCTTCCCAGCCCCAGAGCACCAAAGCCCTAAAATTTTAAAACATGAGTTTCATTTCCTTCCTCAAAAACTTGATAACTATCATTCTTACAAGAATAAAGTTGGATGAGGCTAGAAAGGTGGCTCAGTGGTAGAGTGCTTGCCTTGCATGCATGAGGCCCTGGGTTTGATTCCTCATCACCACATAAGCAGAAAAGGCTGGAAGTGGTGCTGTGGCTCAAGTGGTAGAGCACTAGCCTTGAGCTGAAGAGCTGAGGGACAGCTCCCAGGCCCAGAATTCAAGCCCTACACCGAGACACACACACACACAAAGTTGGAGGCTGGGAATGTGGCTTAATGGTAAAGTGCTTGCCTATCATGCATTAAGTCCTGGGTTCAATTCCTCAGTATCACATAAGCAGAAAAACCTAGAAGTGGCCCTGTGGCTCAAGTGGTAGAGTGCTAGCCTTGAGCAAAAGAAGTTCAGAGGGGGCTGGGAGGGTGGCTCAGTGGTAGAGCGCTTGCCTTGAGCTGAAGCGCTGAGGGACAGCGCCCAGGCCCAGAGTTCAGGCCCCATGACCGGACCCAAAAACAAAAACAAAAAAAAGAAGTTCAGAGACAGTGAACAGGCCCTGAGTTCAAGCCCCAGAATAAAGTTGGATGTTCATCAGCATCAAGTTCAAGGTTCAAATATACCTAGCAAATAAACCAACTTTCCTTACACTTCTCCTAAACTACTGGTGGTCATCTATATCTTCCTACAATAATGTTTGCTTCATCTCCTACTTGTGCTCTCCCCTTTTGTATCAAATACTATCTTTTTTTTTTTTTTTGTCGGTCATGTGGCCTGAACTCTGGGCTTCGGTGCTGTCCCTACGCTCTTCAGCTCAAGGCTAGAGCTCTTCCACCTGAGCCACAGCGCCACTTCCAATTTTCTAGTGGTTTATTGGAGATAAGAGTCTCACAGCCTAGGCTCACAGTGAACTATGATCCTCAGATCTCAGCCTCCTGAGTAGCTAGGATTACAGGCATGAGCCACTGGCACCTGGCATTCAAATACTATTTTTTGAGGCCCAACTCTAAACAATGTTTACTTTTTTATTGGTGGTGGTGCTGATAGTCTCTCTTGAACTTGGCCTGGGCTCTGTCCCTAAGCTCTTTCTCTCAAGGCTAGCACTCGTTTTCTGGTGGTTAATTAGGTATCTCCAATTAACTGGTCTGGCTTTGAACCACAATCCTCAGATCTCAGCCTCCTGAGTAGCTAGGATTACAAATGTGAACTACCAGCACCTTTTTTTCCTATTTACTAATTATATAATTAAATTAATATAATTAATTATTAACGAATAAACTATGGATTCCATTAGCTCAATGCAATTTCTTTTTTTGGGGGGGGGGTCTCGGTCGTGGGACCTAAACTCTGGGCCTGGGCACTGTCCCTCAGCTCTTCAGCTCAAGGCTAGCACTCTACCACTTGAGCCATAGCGCCACTTCTGGCTTTTTTCTTTTTGCTTATGTGGTGCTGGAGAATCGAACCCAGGGCCTTAGGCATGCAAGGCAAGAGCTCTATCACTAGGCCACCTTCCCAGCCCCCTCAATGCAATTTCTAAAGGGCCAACTTCCCAGAGGAAATTTCTAGTAATCAAAATTAACCACCTTTTTCTGGAAGAGGTGATTTTACCTTTTTTCAAAGCTCTTCAGGTATCTTAGAGAATGCAGCTTATATTGTAATCACATTTATCTTTTCTTGCCCATACCATCTACAGTTAATTTCCAGCTATGCTACTTATCCTTTAATTTCTGAACATATCTTACACATCATAGATAGACATGTTGCTCAAAAACCATATAGGAGGCCTTGCTCCAGTGATTCCACTGCTGTAATCCTAGCTACTCAGGCTGAGATCTGAGGATCATGGTTCAAAGCCAGCTCAGGCAGGAAAGTCTCTGAGACTTGATCTCCAATTAACCACCAGAAAACCAGAAGTGGCACTATGGCTCAAAGTGCTAAACTGCTAGCCTTGAGATGAAAAAGCTCAGGGACAGGGCCCAGGCCCTGAATTCAAGCCCCATAACTGACCAAAAACAACAACAAAAATGGAATAGGAATGTGGCTTAGTGCTTGCCTAGCATGCATGAAGCCCTGGGTTCAATTGCTCAGTACCACATAAACAGAAAAAAACAGAAGTAGTGCGGTGGCTCAAGTGGTATGAGTGCTACCCTTGAGCAAAAGAAGCTCAGGGCCAGGGCCAGGCCCTGGGTGCAAGTCCTAGGACTGGAAAAAAGAAAAAATACAGGAGTTGAGAAATATCAAGAAAGCAGGAAGGCACAATTCAGCCAGCTTATTGCTATAAATGCTGGGACAAATGTCAGAATTTTAGTAATCATATGTAATAATCTTAGGTGTTTGATTAAAACCATGAATAAGTCAAATTTTCTACGATCAAATATTTGGGAGATCGGCTTAAAGTCAGTACTAATTACTACAAAAAAATAAAATTGATGCCTGGAAAATTTGTGGAATTTTCTGACCTTAAAATGAGTTTCCATCTGTTCATAAGAAATATACCTGAGGGCTGGGAAGGTGGCTCAGTGGTAGAGCGCTTGCCTTGCAGGCATGAGGCCCTGGGTTCGATTCCTCAGCACCACATAAGCAAAAAGAAAAAAAGCCGGAAGTGGCACTGTGGCTCAAGTGGTAGAGTGCTAGCTTTGAGCTGAATTGCTGAGGGACAGTGCCCAGGCCCCAGAGTTCAGGGCCCATGACTGGACCAAAAAAAAGAAAAAGAAATATACCTGAACCGCGCGAGTGAAGGGACCTGTTTAGATGCTCTCCAAGTCCTTGGCTATGGAGTATTTGGCTCATCCTGGTGCACTCAGCTTGGCTGCTGGAGTTGCTTGTGGCATATGCCTGGGATGGGGCCTCAGGATGCACTTTGGGATGCCACCCACACGCCTGACAAGTGAGCCTGATGCAGAGACCAGAACTGAAGCAAGCATCATGGGAGAGAGTGGGGAGTACAAAATGATTCTTGTGGTTCGAAATGACTTAAAGATAGGGAAAGGAAAAGTTGCTGCCCAGTGCTCTCATGCTGCTGTTTCTGCCTACAAGCAAGTCCAAAGGAAAAACCCTCAAGTGCTCAAACAGTGGGAATACTGTGGCCAGGCCAAAGTGGTAGTCAAAGCCCCTGATGAAGAAACCCTGATCAAATTGCTGACCCATGCAAAAATGCTGGGGCTGACTGTAAGTTAATCCAAGATGCTGGACGTACTCAGATTGAACCAGGCTCTCATACTGTCCTAGGAATTGGGCCAGGACCAGCAGACGTAATTGACAAAGTTACTGGTCACCTAAAACTTTACTAGATGGGTTTTTGAGTGAGGGTAATCCTGTCACAGTGTTTGAAACCTGTCAAATTATAATAAAACTGGATTTCTTCCCCAACTTAAATATCCTCATGATGAAAAAAAAAAAAAAAAAGAAATATACCTGAATCTGCCAGAAGGAATGTCAGCCCTCACAACCCTTTGCAAGCTCATTTCCTTTCTTTTCAGGATTGATGCTTAAAATCTCTATTCAAAATCTGCCCTAAAATGAGTGTTGTGCTAGATGCCTGTAATTCCAGCACTCAAGAGATAATCAGTTTACCAACAGTAGATTGTTAGGAAATCTGAATGTCATATAGTCCTCGCTTCATCCTTATTTTCACTACTTGCTATGGGGCAATCACTACCATGAATTTAGTGAGTAATCTAGCATTCTTCATTTTTATGTGTTTTAGATGTTTTTAAAAATGAGTAGTACAGAGCTGGGAAGGTGGCTCAGTGGTAGAGCACTTGCCTTGCATGCATGAGGCCCTGGGTTCGATTCCTCAGTACCACATAAGCAAAAAGAAAAAAGTTGGAAGTGGCGCTGTGGCTCAAGTGGTAGTGCTGAAGAGCTGAGGGACAGTACCCAGGCCCAGAGTTCAGGCCCCACGACTGGACCAAAAAAAAAAAAAGATTAATACAATTTGTTTTTCTTCTCGTTATAGTTGGATTAGATACAAATCTAGTACATTATACTAGTCTCACTATTTTATACTATATAAATGTATTATCCATTTCCTTATAAATTGACATTATATCCATTTTTTCTCATGCAATAAATATCCTTTTTGTATCTCCACATGCACATCCTAGTTTCTCTAGGATACTGCTCTCTTCTAAGATGAATTATTTACTCAAAGGCCTATTTCACATTCCAGAACCTTTCTACTTTAAGACTGTCTGGCTATATATTTTATCCTTATGTTCATTCAGCAGGATTCCACAGGATTTCTGGTATTTCCTCAGCATTCACTATGATTTATAATAAAAACTCAAAAACTTGCTGTCAATTTTTTAACCAACACCTTCATTACTACAAGATATCTCAGTACAGGTAGGTCTGTAATGTGGTAACAGGAATCCTTGTCTACAGGAGGGAAGTGGTGCATTCTTGAATTAAAGCAAATGTACCTTTGTGCTAATTCACTTTTGCCTCAAGCTCCACTAATATGTGTAATACTGTTGGTGTATCATCCAGCAAGGTTAAATAATTAAAATTCACCTACCTGGGAAATGTAATGAAGTAGAAAAACTAATTTCTTGAGACAATGCCAGACACTTAAACACATTTAAAACACTATGCTTCAGGTTTCTGAGCCTGAGAAATTGGAAGGCAACAACCAGAATTCTTTTAAATATTGAAAAGATGCAAGGTGCAAGGAATTCAATTATTATTCTCCACTGATCCATTTGATTACTCCCATACGCAGTACCTCAAACCATGGAAATTTAGTTCTTAGCATTCTTAGTTACCACTAAGGTATAGTCTCTATGAAGAGACTAATTTGCATGTAGATGAGGCTTTTATAGATGTAGAAACTTCAAGGGAGAGTCTTATTTTGCTTTTTTAAAAAAAAATGTTACTGATTTTCCTATGAATATCCTTGTACTTGTTTCCTGATAAGCTTGGGTATCAGGAGGGTCAATACTTATAAATGAGGGATGAGCTTGTTAAAAAAAAAAGAGGGGAGATGGGAAGGTGGCTCAGTGGTAGAGTGCTTACATTGCATGCATGTGGCCCTGGGTTCGATTCCTCAGCACCACATAAGCAGAAAAGCTGGAAGTGGCACTGTGGCTCAAGTGGTAGAGTGCTAGCCTTGAGCTGAAGAGCTGAGGGACAGTGCCCAGGCCCAGAGTTCAGGCACCATGACTGGCAAAAAAAAAAAAAAAAGTTTAAATATCCAACCTGGGCAAGAACCTATCCAAAAACCACAACAAAAACTTGCTGTTTCTGCCCTTAGTCAAAACTGGGCTCCCTCTTTTCTGTAATCTCAAATCATTTAATTATGCTTTTTCCTTAGCACTACTTGTGGGACAATCAGCAATAGAAACAAGACAGCTTTGAGCTTAGGACAGCCCAAACCTTTCATCATGCTTTTGGTTTTTTTTTTTAAACTTAAAAACATGAAAAAAAAAAAAAACATGGCTGAGAATTAAGGGTCCAGATACTCAAAGAACCTAGTCAATCACCACAGCCAACATACTTCACTACAGTTCTCTACCTTCACCGGATGATTCTAGCTGTACCCTCCCTTCCTTTTCCAGGTTCATTCTGGGCCCTAGTGCTTAAGGGAATTAACATTGCCTGATCTTGCATTAGTTCTTTTTCATTATTACCACGCATTTCAACAAAATACTGATTAAAAAACTAAAACAAGTATTGTGGTGGGCTTGATAGTCTTTGCCTGTAATCCCATTACTATAATCCTAGGCATTAGTGAATCCAAGGTCAGACTGGGTTATGTAGCCACATCCTGTCTCAAAATGAGAAGGCACAGGCTAGGAAGGTGGCTCAGTGGTAGAGCGCTTGCCTTGCATGCCTGAGGCCTTGGGTTTGATTCCTCAGTACCACATAAGCAAAAAAGAAAAAAAGCCGGAAGTGGCGCTGTGGCTCAGGTGGTAGAGTGCTAGCCTTGAGCTGAAGAGCTGAGTGATAGTGCCCAGGCCCAGAGTTCAGGCCCCACGACCGGACCCCCCAAAAAAACGAGAAGGCACTATTGCTTTTAAGATTAATTTGAAGTCATTTGAATTCAGTAGGCAAAAGTATTACTAACTTTTCTCAAGCCTAACGTGAAGGGATTCTTCGGTTGAAGTTCCAAATAAATCCAGTATTCCAATTTTATTTGGGATGGAAAGAGAAAGGTAGAGGAAATGAAAAGGGAAGGTAAATTTAAGACTCAGGTATGGTTTTTCTCATCTAAATCACCTTACAGAATCATGTACTCAATTCTTTCTTTTCCTGTATGGAAATACTACCCAATTATTCAGAAAAGTTTATGAGCCAAACTTTAGCTTTGTATATGAAAACTGCCTGTTAAATTTTTTAGAATTTTCTTGGAAAGGGCTGGGAAGGTGGCTCAGTGGTAGAGTGCTTGCCTTGCATGCCTGAGGCCCTGGATTCCTCAGCAACATATAAGCAAAAAGAAAAAAGCTGGAAGTAGCACTGTGGCTCAATTGGTAGAGTGCTGCCTTGAGCTGAGGGACAGCGCCCAGGCCCAGAGTTCAGGCCCCACGACTGGACCCCAAAAAAAGAATTTTCTTGGAAATACAAATGTGCGCGCGCGCACACACACACACAACCACACACACACACTATTGAGAAGCCTTTTCTCCCCAAGTTCATTTACTCCCAAACAAGCTTTAGAGTCACGTCCCAACATCTGGGTATATAGCTACCGAGATCTGAGGATTAATGTTCAAAACCAGCTGGGAGACAGAAAAGTTTGTAATACCAGATCTTCAATTAACTAGTAAAATGCCAATTTGTAGTTACGGCTTAAGTGGTAGAGCAAGATAGCTAAGGCAGAGTGTTAAGTGCTGAGTGCAAGCCCTTGGTACTGCCCTCCTCAAAACTAAATCCTCAAATATTACCTTTTTCAATTATATGTTCCTTGGTTCAAGAGGTTAATGTCAATATAAGAAACCCAAGTATTTCAGTCACTGAAGGGTATGGCATGGTTGTCAAATGGTACTTAATAGGTCACATATAAAACTCCAGTTATACATTAACCAGGTTTACTTTTATCTATACCCAATTCCAGTTATAAGATGGGGAATTCTTGTTCTCAGAGGTAGAATTATTACTGAACTTCCTAATTTTTTTTTTGTCCTCATGGGGCCTGAACACTATCCCTCAGCTCTTCAGCTCAAGGCTAGTGCTCTACCACTTGAGCCACAGCACCACTTCCAGCTTTTTCTGCTTAGTGGTGCTGAGGAATTGAATCCAGGGCCTCATGCATGCAAGGCAAACACTCTATCACTGAGTCACTTTCCCAGCCCTCAATTTTCTAAATTTTGTAGGAAGAGAATACTAAAATCAGGTATAAAGTCAATGCAATGGAATGTTAAAAATCAGTCACACAAGAGCCAGTATAGTAATACAACCTTGTGATCTAAGCACCTGGGATGTTGAGACACATATGAGTTCTGAGGCCAGCCAGAACTACCCAATCACTCCAATCTCACAAAATCTCCAGATCAGACATTCACACATGAAAAACAGTCATACACAAAGAGTCAAGACGACTATTTTTTTTGGGGGGGAGGCCAAATTATTATTTTATAATTTGATTACAACCAATTTTGTTGGCATTAAAATTAGAGACATTTTAAGTTTGTGAAACAATGGCTATATACCCAAACCAGAAATTACGTTTGGTAAAAATGGGAATAGTTTTCCAATAATTACAGATTAGATGGCAGAAATCAATTTAAAGAAACACAAACCTCATGTTCACAATGATTGTGCCACAAATTTCAACTTCAGTAGTGCATTAGTAAACTTCACATTTAGATTTTCACTTTTGAGATTTGACAGTTGTTTCTTGAAAAAGAAAAACAGTACCATGTGCAAATAAATCGGTCTTCCATGTGCCTTAGCACATAAAATTTCTCCACTGTATATATACAAAACACCTACCAGGTTGGCAGGGCAAAATACACTTTCATAACAAAACTATAATGTACCTCTCAAGTATGAACAATATACACATAATACATGGTATACAGTATTTACAAAATATAAAATATAATACAAGCTGTTTGTATGTAACTTTTTTTAAGCTCATCTTTTGCACTTGTGTGTTGCAACAAGGCAAATTTCCATTTCTGTACCCATTTTCCTTTAGAGTCCAGAAATCTGGGGAATACTGTTTTACATTACAAATCTAAGTTTGAACTTTCAGGAGCGTTTTTAAGTGCACTGCCATCAGCTCCCTATTGGGGTTGGCATTTTCAGCAGTGGTTCCCATCCAGTGACTAGGAGGCTTTGGAAGAACACTAGGAGAAGGTGGATCACTGAACCTTGCCCCAGCGTAGTTTTCCTTTTGGCTTCCTTCCGTTAGAAATGATGATTTCTTCAAATTAGTACTTTTAATGTTCTCAGTATTTTTAAAAGGCTTTTTTTCCTGCTTCTGAATTCTATCAGGCATATCAGAATCCTGTCTGAAGTTATTTTCATTCCTTTTTGCAGAGGTCATCTTGGTTAGTGGCAAATTATGTCTGCTTTTCTGTCTGTTTATCTTTGGTTGTTCACACAAGTGTATACCATACACAAGCTGGCCGTGGGGAAGGGCAATTTTCTCCGATTTTCCCATCTTTGATTTAAAAACCTACAAAGATAAGGAACACAAACGTAAATACAGCTTCAAGATAAAAATCAGTTACAAACCTCACACATTTTGTTTCCTGTAGACTTATATTCACTGTTGTATTCATCACTGACTATCCTACTATGTAAGCCTCTTGTTTGGGGCTAAATCCGTTATCAGAAATAAACGTCGAACAATCTAAATCTTCCTCCAACTATAAATAGTAAAGGGTAAATACGTACTCGCTCCTGAATTTGTTTCACTTACCTTGATGACCTTTTTCAAAGGAGTGGATCTGAGATCATGGGAAAAATAAGATCTCATTTCTGTCTGGAGAAACGAACTTTATTGACTAGGACCCCAATCAGATTTCATCAAGTCATAAAACTTTAAAGCTTGAAGACTAAGACGGCTGTTTAGGGAAATAAATACAGCAAATCTGTTTTCCCCTAGGGTACAGCTCCACTAGGGGTCTCAACCCACTCTTCACAAATAGCTGTCCGTCAAGTTTCACCGCAGCATCCGTGAAAAATGATTGGAACCAAGTCACAAAGATATTTGGTAAGTCTCATTTTAAGCCTTTAATCCGGTCTGCATTTTGGTCCTTTGCCTCCCAATCCCTTCACTGCCGACGGCGGGCCAAACACCAGGAACTTCCGAAAAAGAACCTAGGCAGCGGTAGTAACAGCACACGCCTTCGGCCAAGCCCCGCCTGGCGGGGCCGGGCAGCGGGAGATCCCGGCGCCCGGAACCGGGCGGGCCGGGCAGCGCGGCGGGAAGGCGGAACTCGGCGTCCGAGGCGGCCAACTTTGGAACTTGGGAGTCGCCCAAATAGGTTAGGCTGTGGCAGGCTGAGCCGGACGCCCGACGCGGGGCACGCAGACGAAACCCGGGGGCCGCTGGCGGCTGCACCTTCATCCCCTCACCGGGGCCGTTAGAACCAATCCACAGGCTCTACGCCGAGGAAGCGAGGAGCGCCAGCGTCCGCGGCGAGCCAGCCGCGCCTCCTTCATGAGCGCCCGAGCTCTCGGCACGTAGCGCGCTGACGTCAGCCCTCCTGCGGGCCCCGCCCTCTGCCACCGCCGCGCGCGCCCCGAACGCCGAAACCCCCTGGAACGCCGCCAACCTTCTAAATCGGGGCTGTTGCTGGGGCCCAGGCGCCCACCCCATTGGCTGGCTCCCGGGAGCCAATCAACAGGGCCAGCGCAGGCCGCCCCCTTTCCCCACCCCCCCCACCCAGCGGGCGTCACGGAAACTTCCCTCCCGAGTAAACAGCCGCCCCCCGCCCCCACCCCCGCCCCGCGGCCCCGGGCCCTCGCGGCCCTCACCTCTCTCCGGAACGGGGGTTGACCGGGCTCCGCCGGCTGCAGTAGCCCGGGGACGGGGCTCGATCCCTCCGTTCGGGTGGCGGCCGCCGGGGCCGAGGCAGCGGCCCGGCCCGAGCCCTCCTGCGCTGCGCTTGGGCCGCTGGCCGGGCTCCGGCCGCCCTCCAGGCTCGGCCGGTGCTGCTGGTACTGGTGGAAGCGGCTGGGCAGCTGCCCCGCCGGGGCGGTCCGCACCTTCTTCTTCCGTCGCTTCTTCGGCGCTGCCCGCGGGGTGCCTCCCGCCGGGGTCAGGTTGCAGTTGGGCAGCGCTGCGGGAGCGCGAGGCTGCGGGGTGAGGCAGGGGCCGTCTCCCCCCAGGAAGTGCGGGAGGAAGAGGGTTGGGGGCAGCGCCCGGGGGTCCGGGATCCGGGGCACAGACGGAGCCGTGGTCACCATCGGGAGGGCCCCGAAGTAACCGCGGGCGGAGAAGCCGAGCGGCGCCAGACGACTGCCCAGGACGAGCGGCTCCCGCTGCGGGACGGAGACGACGGTCATGGCGCTAGGAGGCAGGTGGCTCTGCGGGACGGGGAGGAGGGCGAGGGTGTGAAGCCGGGGGTCCCAGGGTGGCGGCGGCGGCTGCTGCTGGGAGAGCTACAGGAGAGCGCGGACCGGAGCTCGGGCAAAGGCGGCGCAGCAACAAATAGCTCAACCCGGGTTCCGAGTGTTGTTATCAGAAGCGCCGCCCCGGGCCCGCCCGCCGCCCTGTGGGAGCCCAATCTGCACGCGGGCGGGCCCGGCCACGCCTCCGAAGCTCCGCCTCCAGCGCTCGGGGACCAGACTCCTCCACTAGCCACCCGCTGCAGCCCGGCACAAAGAGCGCGCACTGCGCAGGCGCCGCCAACGGGCCCTTTCGAGGAGAGTCAGCCCCGCGAACAATGAAGTTGGGCTTTGGTCGCAGCCTCCCGCCCCCGCGGCGCTCCCGCCCGCGCCCCTTCCCCCCCCCTCCCCCCAGCTCCGGGCTTGGGACCCGCAGCCGGGGCTGGCCGGGCGCCACGGGCGGCGGGGGGATTCGGAAGCCTGTAGGCCAGCTTGATGGTTCTCAACTACTGACCTTGGGGAAGTATCTTTTTTTTTTTTTTTTTAAACCCAGCAACAAAATTATGATTTTTTTTTTTTAAATAAAAAGATTTCAAAGATCACTAGAAGGATTTCTGTCCTAGGCATGGGGATCAGTCTACATTTAAGCCATATATTTAATGAACTGTGGTTCTTGGGTTTTGGTTTTGTTTTTTAATCATCGCTGCTTCTGAACCCTGGGGTTTAATAGAAACTAGCTTCCCAGGGTACAGAAAGTTCACGAATCTGTAATGTGGCTGTTAGAAAGGCCCCAGAAGGGTTAAAAGACTTTGGGATGGCCAAATTACCCGGTTCTGGAGGCAGCGGCAGCAGCAGCAGCAGCAGCAAAGGAACAGACACTCCAGGGAGAAGATGAAACAGCTTGCAACACGCAGTTGTATTTTGTTTTTTGTTTTTTTGTTTTGTTGTTGTTGTTTAATGGTGGGTTAATGAAAAGCCAGGCTCACAACCACACACAAACATTGTAGCTATCAGTTATACTCTAAGGAGTGTTTTGTTTTAACATAATATCATTTGAAAAAACAACCCTGATGAGTAAGTGTTGTATTTTATCCTCATATTACAGAAGAGCAAATCAAGCCTCACAGAGGCCACAAAGAACACTGGAATTTGAACTCCAGTCCAGAGCTTGCTAGACCAAAGTTTTATCCGCACTGATAATAGAGGCCTCTCTAAAAGCGAAGTTTTGTTGTTTTTGCCAGTCTTGAGGCTTCAGCTGTGATCCTGGATTCTGTCCTTGCGCTTCTTTTTGCTAAAGGCTATTCTACAACTTGAGTGACAACTAATACTTGGCTTTTTCTTTCTTTTTTGGGGGGAGGGGGGTTCAGTCGTGGGGCCTGAACTCTGGGCCTGGGCGCTGTCCCTCAGCTCTTCAGCTCAAGGCTAGCGCTCTACCTACCACTTGAGCCACAGCACCACTTCCTGCTTTTTTTTCTTTTTGCTTATGTGGTGCTGAGGAATCGAACCCAGGGCCTCATGCATGCAAGACAAGTGCTCTACTACTGAGCCACCTTTCCAGCCCCCTACTTGGCTTTTTCTAATTGGTTTATTGGAGATCAGAGTCTCAAGAATTTGTCTGGAATGAGGCTGGGTGGTAATGTGCTTGCCTAGCATGCATGAAATCCTGGGTTCAATTCCTTAGTACCACATATACAGAAAAGGCAGGAAGTGGCATTGTGGCTCAAGTGGTAGAGTGCTAGCCTTGACCAAAAGAAGCTCAGGGACAGTGCCCAGTCCCTGAGTTAAAATCCCAGAACAGTGCTCCAGCCCTCCCCCCCAAAAAAAGTCTCAACTTTCTGGCCAGGTATCTGTGGCTTGATCAAGCCTGTAATCCTAGTTACTTGGAGGCTGAGAGCTGAAGATCACAGTTCAAAACCCCTGGGCAGTAAAGTCCATTGAGACTCTTATCTCTAATAAACTACTCAGAAAAAGCCAGAAGTGTGGCATTGTGGCTCAAGTGGTAGAGTGCTAGGCTTGAGCACAAAGAGGCCTCTGTGACAGAGCTCAGGCCCTGGTTCAAGCCCCAGGACCAGAGGAAAAAAGAAACAACTTTTCTTCCTGTACTGGGTTCAAATGGTGATCCTCAGATCTCAGCCTTCTGAATAGCTAGGATTATGGGCATTAGTTGAAGGAGGATCCCACACACCATCCCAGGGGACCACGCAGAGGCAGGCAGGCACAGGAGAAAGATTATTAGAGGAGACAGGTTTATTAGAGGAGGCAGATTTCCCCCAAGAGGGAGAGCACATGGCCTCCATCCCCATCCAGGTAGCAGGAGGGTCTGAGGGATAGGAAGTGAGGTAGATGGGAGTTCAGGTGGGTCTGGGGAGAGAGAGGGAGGGGCCAGCTGTATGGAGGGGAACTCCTGGAATGGGAGGGGGCACCCGTCTGGGTGGAGCTGAGGACCAAAGGTGAGCTTAATAGAAACATTAGTCACCGGTGACTAGAAAGGCCACAATCTTACTCTCAGTAGCCTCACATCCCCCAACCCCAAGTTTTCAGCTGTGTAGTGGTAACCAGTAAATACTAAAACTTTTGTGCTTGATAGCAAAGTTGTACACATTGAATATTCACAATAACGCCTCTTAATGACTACATAAACTTTTTAATACATTGTATTACGATAATTATTGGATTTTATAGTTTTTGATAGATTTTACTCATTTTTAAGTTTGTGACTAAACATAGTACTCATGTTCATTGAATGAATGGGAATCATAGTTGCAGAGTGGAAAAAGAATCTTACAAAACCTTTCAAATAGGTAGGTCTGTAAATTGACATTAGACTTGGAACCTGTAAGGAGAATGTGGAATTTCTGAAGGAACAAAAGTTATTCTTCTGTTTTTGTAAGATTCTCTACTTCAAGCACTCTCCTATATGTGGGTTTCATTTTATTTTATTTTATGCTAGTCCTGGGGATTAAATTCAGGGCCTGGGCACCATCCCTGAGCTGCTTTTGCTCAAGGCTAGCACTCTACCACTTGAGCTACAGTGCCACTCCCAACTTTTTCTGTGTATGTGGTACTGAGGAATTGAACACAGGGCTTCATGCATACTAGACAAGCACTCTACCACTAAGCTATATTCCCAGCCCTATTTTTTTTTTTTTTAATTGTGGGTTCTAGAGCTTGAACAAAAGGCCTGGGCACTCTACCTGTGTTTTTTTTTTTTTTTGTCGGTCGTGGGGCTTGAACTCTGGGCTTGGGCGCTGTCCCTGAACTCTTCAGCTCAAGGCGAGTGCTCTACCGCTTGAGCCACAGCACCACTTCCAGTTTTTGAGGTTTATTGGAGATAAGAGTCTCCCGGATGTTCCTGCCTGGATTAGCATTGAACCGAGATCCTCAGATCTCAGATCTCAGTCTCCTGAGTAGCTAGGATTACAGGTGTGAGCCATCGGTGCCCGGCTAGTTCTATGTTTTTATCCAAGTTTTACTTGACCTATCTAATAGAAACTAGTTTCTTATCATTTTTTTGTTTGGATTGGTCGTGGGGCTTGAACTCTGGGCCTGGGCACTGTCCCTCAGCATTTCAGCTCAAGGTAAGTGCTCTGGGCTGGGAAGGTGGCTCAGTGGTAAAGCGCTTGCCTTGCATGCATGAGGCCCTGGGTTCGATTCCTCAGCACCACATAAGCAAAAAGAAAAAAGCCGGAAATGGCGCTGTGGCTCAAGTGGCAGAGTGCTAGACTTGAGCTGAAGAGCTGAGGGACAGACCCCCCCCCCCAAAAAAAAAAAAAAGAGTCTCATGGACTTCCTGCCTGGGTTGGCTTTGAACCACAATCCTCAGATCTTAGCCTCCTGAGTAGCTAGAATTACAGGCTTGAGCCACTAGCACCCGTCCTCATTGAAAGCTTTTCTATTATAGGGGTAAAGTATAAAAGGGATAAACTATAAGATAGGGATAGAGACTGGCAAGTTGGCTCAGTGGTAGAGTGCTTGCCTTGCATGCATGAGGCCCTGGGTTACATTCCTCAGCACCACAAAAGCAGAAAAAGCCAGAAGTGGCGCTGTGGCTCAAGTGGTAGAGCGCTAGCCTTGAGCTGAAGAAGGACAGCGCCCAGGCCCAGAGTTCAGGCCCCATGACCGACAAAAAAAAAAAGGAAAGAAAGAAAGAAAATAGGGATAGAGTTTACACAGTGAGCTATGTTTTTTGGTTGCATTTGGCAAATCATTATCTTAAACACACACCACTGAGTTCTGCTTCTACTTGGTCTCCAGTAGACACTCTACTTGAGTGTCTCCAGCTAATTAACCGTGAAATCTTCTTTCTACCTAGTGTTTATTAGTGACAAATGCTGTGGGACTTCCTCCCCCCCCCCCCCCCCGCCCCCTTGTCTCATAAGTATCCCAGGCTGGCCTAGAACTGAGATCCTCCTGCCTCAACCTCCAAAGTGCTACCATGTCTAGCTGTCTTTGTGTTCTTGATGGTTAATTTTTCCCTCAGCCTTTCCTGGCTAATTCTCAAGACTCTGTAGTAATCTCTCCTTACTTTTGTAATTACAGAAAAGGCATTTATGTGCTTTATAAACATATGCTTTAGATTTTAAAAGCCATACATATAACTGTTCAACTTAAAATTAATATCTATTTTGACACAATCCTATAATCAAACAACCTACTAATAGGGTTTTCTTTTGGAGAATCATTATGGACTTTAGGAAATTTGTAGTTTTAGGGGCTGGGAAGGTGGCTCAGTGGTAGAGTATTTGTCTAGCATGCATGAGGCTCTGTATTCCTCAGTACCACATACACAGAAAAAGCCAGAAGTGGAGCTTGGCTCAGGTGGTAAAGCGCTAGCCTTGAGCAAAAAGAAGCTCAGGACAGTCCCCAGGCCCTGAGTTCAAGCCCCAGGACTGGCAAATAAAAAGAAAAAAGAAAGAAATTCGTAGTTTTAATTATCTACACTCAATCTTTTTGTGCTCAAACCTCTAGAGCTGAGCCAGTGAAAATGCTTTTGGAGCCAGGCACAGGTGACTCACGCCTGTAATCCTAGCTACTCAGGAGGGTGAGATCTGAGGATCATGGTTTGAAGCCACTGGGCAGGAAAAACCCTAAGACTCTTAAGTCCAATTAAACACAGGAAAAGCTGAAAGTGGCACTGTGGCTCAAGTGGTACAATGCTAGCTTTGAGCTAAAGGAGCTCAGAGACAGCATCCAGGCCTACAGTTCAAGCCCCAGGACTGGCAACAAACAAACAAACAAAAAACCATTTAAAGATAGCTCCATTCTCTCTAGCACTCCTCTCAAATACTGT